CTTTCAACATAATGATGTCACATTGTTACCATGGCCACCAAGATCTCCCGACTTATCCCCAATTGAGCACGTGTGGGATATTATGGGTAGGAGATTGCTCAATTTGCAACGTCCTCCTCAGACTCTAGAAGCACTTCGAGAGGAGTTGGTGGTTGCCTGGAATGAGATACCACAGGAGGACATTGACCATCTGATCAGAAGCATGCCTAGGCGCGTTGGAGAATGCGTAGCACATCAGGTGCATCCACACATTATTAAACGTCAAAGGGCTTTAAAAGCAGTGCAATCATTTTAAAAATTTTTATCATTTACTTATTATGCTTCATTAAGTACTTATACAATATTTTATTGAAATAAAAACTATTTTAACTGGGTGTCACTTAGTATATTTTCCTTTTCACAAGTGATGAATTGACTGTATTCTTCGCCGCAAAAGTTCACCGGTTTCCTTAGCGATGATTGAAGAACCTCATGTCACGTTAGTAAAACATGTCCATATTATGACATGCAGATACTCAAAGGCAAACTTTCGGAGACAGAACGTATAATATCTACTTGCAACGCTATATAGGGTATCTTATAACAAAGCTACATAAATAACGGGAATTTATACGCTAACATCCGGAGTTAATCCGAAAATCCGCTCCAATTAGCTAAGGAAGGCTCATAAAGGGATACCAGACACCGAACAAAATTAACTCGCCATTTTCTTTGTTAATTTTCGATGATGAGACGGCTCTCTTCTTTATGAATCTATGATAGCTATCTGGAGCGCAAGCACTATTCGTGCACTGGTCGCCCACAAAGTATGCAATTTCAATATGACAAAATCAGTACTTACCGAAAGTAGCTGCCAACCGCAACCTAAATGCAATTCTCCTTCTCGATCTCATCTATCTATTGGTATGTCATTCTTCGGTCTTCGTCAAGCATTTTCCTCACAGCAGTAATGTTTTCCTCTGTTACTGACGTTCTGGGCCTTCCATTTCTCTCAGCGTCCTCCAGATTGAAATTGCTTTGGAATTCTCTGTACCATCTGACTATAGACGTACGATGACGACAATTGTTCTTTATTGCAAGCGTCACTTCTTCTAAGCACTGGTCTATGCTTAAACCACGCGTAAAGTTATATGACCCGCGTTCAATTGTTACCATGTACCACATGACCCTTGTAAACATAATTGTGTTTATTAACATGAATAAACGAATTTTAATTTGATTTCTTGAATTTATTTTAGGAAATATATCAAATTATTTGAATTCATTTTTTTCTTAGTCGGAACGCACCGTCGCGTCGCTTGGACTGGCAGGACGAAACAGTAGACGAATTTCGCCCAAAAACAGATTTGCACTTCACAGCTTACGTTTCATTTTTTATTATTTCCAAATGAAACTGTTGCAGCGTGCTAAAAACATAGTCCACAGGGTGCTAACGATCCACTTTTTCAATTTTATCCACTAGGATCTTTTTAAAATATCAAGAAGTTGAGCACAAATAGTAAGCATTTCAACCCACCATAATTCTAAAGCTCTGATAGCTAGCACCTTAGGCAATTATATCCAGAAAAACATCACAAACTGCAGAACACAAATTGAAGGTAACAGCGAAATGAGTACATTTCACGGGTCATGAAATTCAAATGAAAATGCAGGTATAAAATCTACCAAATTTATCGTTCTCAAAAACATATTTCCTTGACATATCGATAATTTTAAAGTTCCACGCTAAATTCCCCTATACTTGACTGGAGTGATATCCGAATTCATTCTTCCCTACTGTCGGCAGTTGCAGATAGATCTGTTGGCTC